CTGAAAACCCTATGGGGCACAGTTCCACTCTACATATGAGATAATCACAAATCAGAACCAAGTCAAGTATAACTAATTTCATGTTGCTTCATGAGTGGCCCTCAGTTACCCCTGTAAACATCCCTTTCCCTGACAGATTCCAGAATGAGCATCATTGTACTACACTTTCAGCTCCACTGTCTGCTTTAACTTTCCCAGGCCTGACTTGGGTACCTGTCCCTCTGTCCCCCACATGCAGGGGACAGGTTTCAAATCTTTCCAAATCTTCTCTTAAAGTCCGCTTCACCTGTCTGTGGTCTGAGATACCCTTTGGAGAAGAGGTGGTGACTCACAGCAAAGTTAACAGCTCTTTATGAAGAAACCTCTTTCCCTCCCTCTCTCTCTCAGAACTCTCTGTCCTTGGATGAGAGGGTTACAAAAGCAGTGACTCAGGTTTTCCTTAATAATTCCCACTGTGAATTCTGCAAGGGGAGATCTCCTCACACCTCCTTTGATATCCTGCTATCTGTCACATTGGCACCTTAATGTCGCCAAGGCAGAAAGACAGTCTGGAAGAGACAGTGTGGTCCCCTGAACCACAATCTCTTATCCCACTTGATTCCTGTGTGGAATCAAGTTACTGAGGTGGGCAGTGTAGGCCTGGTGGCTCAATGGGTTAAGTGTTGGGCTGCTAACTGGAAGGTCATTGGGTTAAGTCCACCAGCAGTTCCATGGTAGAAAGATAAGGTTGCCTGATCCCCAAAAGATTTGCAGTTTTGTAAAGCCTAAGGAGCAACTCTGCTATGTCCTATGGGGTCACTATGAGTAGGAACTGAGTAAACTGGGCACCCTCCACTTTTCTGCTTCAGGGAGTACTCTGCAGTGGCAGGGATTCACTCAGCTCAATCACAGGTACACTCAGAGTGTCCAGGGGAAGTGAACACCCCAAGAGGCACCTTCAGCCAATGGAGGATTGAGTATGTGGGTGAATGTCTCAGCCTCCCTGCCCTTTCATGGGACAATTCTGAAGCATTTTCTATGTATTTCCTTTGAGAGATTGAACTACATTAATCAGCCATTATTGTTGCTGTTGGCTACCACCAAGTTGCATCCTACTCATGGTGGCCCCATGCACAATGGAATTGGACACTTGGGATCCCTAGGTTTTTCCTGGCTGATTTTTCAGAAATAATGACTAGATTTTTCTTCCTAGTCCATCTTAGTCTTGAAGCTCCATCAAGACCTGTCCAACATCACTACAACACACAGACTTCCATTTAACAAACAAACACTGGCTGGGCATTGAACCATGTCTCTCCCACCGAAGGAGAGAATTCTTCCATTGAACCACCAATGCCCTCAGTCAGTGATGAGTACATCCTTCACCGGCCTTTCTCCCTTTCCGATCTCATCTCAAGTTCCCCTACTCTCTTAGTTTTGCTCTAATCACGTCCCTGAAAGACTTCTTCCACCCAGGTTTTTGCCTAAAGGTAGGATTTGGAAAAACTAAGACATAATTGAGTAAGATAAAGTACTCGATAAAATTTATTTCCCCTCTCTCTTCTGTCTCTGTCTTTAGGAACAAATTAGCCAGTGATCTTCCCCTCCCTGCCCCCCATTCTTCTGATATCACAATAATGGGAAAGGGTGACTAATGTAAAGTGAGTCTTTTTTTGGTAGAAAGGATAGGGGATAATGAAAGAGAAAAACCTTTCATCAAACTTTCTCCTCAGATTCTCTTTGGGTCTGGAAAGATGTGGACCCACACAGCAAAACCACATTCCTGGAGGAGCCATTAACAAATCAGTTTGAAATAAATCACCTCTCTCCTGAGGCAAATCATGTTGAGACCTACACTTGTCTTCTATTCTGGGACCTGCCTGTACACTTGATATATGGTTTCTTTTCCTTTCCTTTCCATTTTCTTTTGTAAGTGTCAGGGTTAAAAGAGTGACTATTCAGTTGAACCATGAAGGTGGCTGGAGATACTGAAACTGCAAATTGTTGAAGTGCACCCAAAGGAGTCATGCAACAAAGGAGAAAAAAGTGTTCCTAGTAAAGGAACCAGCATGTGCAAAATCCCTGAGGTGGAAGACAGTGGGACACAGTGAGACACAGGCAGAATGTCCACCAGGTGGACAGAGTAAAGTGGAGAATAATTGAGATGAAGTTGGAAAGGTGGAATAGAGATAGCTCACCAGGGTCTTATAGACCTGTTCAAGAATTTCTAAGAGCACACACAATGTAAGAGTATATAAACATATAAAAGTATAAGTTATACTCTTTCACCAAGTATACCTTTGATAAATACCTAGAATTGGCAAATGTTTATCAGGGATGAGAAGGGAAGCAGAAAGGGGTAGTCATTGTTTAGAAACTTAAAAGCATTGAGTGTTTTTGGTGATGGGAAATTTGACAGTAGATATTGATGATGGTTGCACAGTATGATTAATGTAACTGGTGTCATTGAACTGTACTTGTGAAAACTGTTAAATTGGTGAATTGTGTGCTATATATACTTTGTTGTTGTTGTTGTCAAGTGTCATCAAATCAGTTCCGATTGATGTGACTCTGTACAGGGTTTCCAAGGAGTGACTGGTGAGCTTGAACTGCCGACCTTGCCATTCAAACAACTTTGCAGTCCAGCACATTAATCCACAATGCCACACCAGGACTCTCTACATATATATTTATATCAAAAAAGAAGTATGCCTTTGACAGGGATAAACATTTAGGGTTGGAGGTAGACAGAGAACAGAGAACATAGGATACAGGAGAAGTGTTATAGATTGCACTTTTATGTATGTATAATGGTGGTAGTGTGCTGTGGAGTCAGTTCTGACTCATAGCAACCCTGTATAGAATTTCTGAGGCTATAAACCATTATGGGAATAGAAAGCCTCATTTTTCTTCCAAGGAACAGCTGGTAGTTTCAAACTGCTAACTTAGAGGTTAGCAGCCCGACCACATGAGGAAAATAGATTTGAGCATATTTAAACAATGAGAATGAGCCCAGAAGGGAGACAGGTTGAATAGGCCGGAATAAAGGGAAATGATCAATGAAGCAAGGTCTCTGAGAAGATGAGAGGGGTTGAGATTCTGAACACAGGAAGAGGAACTTGCTTTAAATGACAAGAGACAGAGAAAGAAGAGATGAGATGGGTGGGCATGTTATTGTTGCCATCAGGTGCAGCTGTTGAGTTGGTTGTAACTCATAGCAACCCTCTGTACAACAGAACCAAACAATGCCCGGTCCTGTGCCATCCTCACAATTGTTGTTATATGTGAGTCTGTAACTGCTGAAAATGTGTAACATCCATCTCATTGGGGGTATCTTCCTCTCTCTTGCTGACCCTCCACTTTACCTTCTCCAGGGACTGATCCCTCCTCATAACATGTCTGCAGTAAGAGAGACGAAGTCTCACCATCTGGGTTCTAAGGAGAATTCTGGCTGTACTTCTTCCAACACGGATTTGTTTGTTCTTCTGACCATCCATGGTACTTTTAATATTTTTCTCCAACGCCGTAACTCAAAGGCATCGATTATTCTAAGGTCTTCCTCATTCATTGTTCAACTTTCACATGCATATGAGGAATTGAAAATACCATGGCTTGTAGGCACACCTTAGTTCTCAAACTGATATCTGTACTCTTGAACACTGTAAAGGGGTCTTATGGAGCAGGTTTGTCTAATGCAATACGTGGTTTCATTTCTTCATTGCTTCTTCCATGAGTGTTGATTGTGGATCCAAGCAAAATGAAGTCTTTGGCAAATTCAATCTTTTCTCCATTTATCATGATCTTTACTGGTCCAGGTGTGAGAATTTTTGTTTTCTTTACATTGAGATGTAACCCATACTGAAGGTTGTGGTCTTTAATCTTCACCAGTAAGTAGCTTGTTTAAGTCCTCTTTGCTTTCAACTGACAAGGTTGTATCATCTGTATATCACAGATTGTTAAGGAGTTTTCCTCCAATCCTGATGTCAGGTTCTTCTTCATATAATCCAGTTTCTCAGATTATTTGCTCAGCATAAAGATTGAATAAATATGGTGAAAAAATATAACCCTTGTTCACAAGGGTGGGGATGTAGGTAGGTTTATTTGTGACAAGGGCCCCTGGTAGCACTTTGTGATAAGCACTGGACTGCTAACCACAAGGTCAGCAGTTCAAACCCAAGAGCCACTCCTTGGA